TGCGGTTGGATCGTAGCATCGGTGATATGTCGTCCAAGATATTTCCATGGGCTTGTCTCCTGTACCTTCTCGGGGGCAACTACTAATCCTCTCTGTTTAAGTTGTTTCGTTAGTTCATCCTTTTGCTGTGAAGAAAATGGTGTTGACTGGGCCAATAGAATATCGTCCATATAATGATAGATTATTGTTCCTGACCGTTTTCGTCGCAACGGCTGTAGAGCATCGTCAACATAGAGTCGACATAGAGTTGGCGAATTTCGCATTCCCTGCGGCAGGACCGTCCACTCAAATCTCTGGTCCGGCCCTTCTCGGTTTATTGCAGGAAGTGTAAAAGCGAATCTTTGTTTATCATTTTCATGGAGAGCAATTGTGAAGAAACAGTCCTTTAAGTCCACTATGAGTAAATGCCATCCTTCAAGTATCATCGCACGATTAGGCAACCCTGGCTGCACTGCTCCCATATCGTACATCTGCTTATTTACCGCGCGCAGATCGTGGAGCAGTCAATACTTTCCCGACTTCTTTTTAATCACAAAGATAGGTGTATTCCACGGGCTTGTTGACAACCTTAAGTGCGCCTGTTGAAACTGTTCTTTAACCAGCTCATGCGCTTGTATCAGGCTTTCCCTTTTTAACGGCCATTGCTCGACCCACACAGGATCATCATTCTTCCACCGGAGCGGGATCGGGAAAGTCCAAACAATGGCCATATCTATAAAGGGCGTTCCGAGGTAAGGACCATTCCCATTTGAGCAAGGATGTCCCGCCCTATTAGTGCGTGCACCCCGTCAGGCAACGGAATAACAGAGACACAACATTTCACCACTTTGTCCCCTATTGTCCACCGCAGGGGTGGTGACTGACGGGCAAGTGTCATTCCTCCTACCCCGGCCACCGTGGCATTGGTTTCAGATGTTGGCCAATGCTGCGGCCAGTTTTGTGTGCTGATTATAGATACATCGGCTCCCTCTTGTGGCTGGTCGGAGAGGAACGGGTTCCCCCTCGGTGTTGCTGTGTATGCGGCAGCGTTTTGTGTCGTCCGGGGCGACTCTTCCCGCTCTTCCGGCCGTTTCCCAACACCTTGCGTCGACATGCCGCTTCATTGGGATTGCCCGACTGACAATTTGAGCACCATACTGCCCCAGCTTTGCAGTTTCGTCTCACGTGTCCAAAACCACCACAACCAGAACATCGCAAGCGGGGTGGTATTTGGCCACTAGGGGTGGTACTTGACCACCAGAGCGTGAACCGGCCGTTTGCAAAGGAGCAAGAGCTGCAAGGACCTGACTCTGTGTAAACTGAGCATGCTCTTTCATAGCCTGTGCCTGCTCTCGCATGCTGTCACCTAATTGCTTTACTGCTTCTACTAACATAGCCTGGGGGCCTACTGGTACCTGAGCCAATATTTCCAACCCTTCCTCGATTGTCCATGTCCCGGGTAAGGAAGCCAATATATTGCGAGTAGAGGGGTTGCTATTCTGAATTGCGCACTGTTTTAATATCATGCCCTGGAGGTAATCAGGCACCCCAGCCGCCTGTATGGCGTTTGCTACGCGGTCAATAAAAAGCCCAAATGGTTCCTCTCTACCCTGTTTGATTCCCATGTAGGAAGGTATTCCCCCTGGCCCCTTTATCCGATCCAATGCTCTTCTGGCCATTCTCATCGATTCCTTCGCTTTATCAGGTCCCCGCGAGGCCTGTGCTTCTGTCCTAAAATACGGTCCTACCCCCATCAACTCTTCCAGCGTGACCCCATGTAAAGGGTCCCCAGGTGCTCTTATCACTGCGACTGCTTCTTGACAAGCAGCCTGCCAATGGGCATTAAATAAGAGCTGCTGGTGTTGGGTCAATATTAACTTCATTATGCTACGTATGTCTCCTGGAAGCAAAATATTTGTTCCCCAAATATAGTCCAACATCTGTCTCGTGGGTTCACCTTCCAGACCTGAGTCGTTCACTGTGGACCACAGCTGAGTTAACAATTTCCAGTCCAAATTCACTAGATTAACCGTAACATTACCCTGGGCGTCCGGTGGTGAATATACTACCGGGAAGGCCTCTTGAACCAATTGTGCAGCTATCCCGTGTTCACCCTCGTGTAGAGCCTCATCTGCTATTTGCTTCCACACCCTCTGCCTCTCTTGAACACCTTCTATAAACGGGCTTGTATTTTTTCTTTCTGGTTTTTGCTCTCTTATTTCCTCATCCATTTCCCCACTTTTGTGAGAAGGAGCCGGTGGTGCTGCTGGTGATGGCGAGAGCACCAACGCCGACTCTGAGAAGGATGATGAGAGAGGAGGAGGCTCCCATTGCCCCATAGCCCCCTGAGGCAGCGTTATCGTCCTCACTGAAGGCGGCAATGGGTAATCCCCAGCTCCCCCCATCCCTCCCTGTTGAGGGTTAACACTACCAGCACTTCCTGGCAATCCCAGTCGCTCTGTAGCAGCAGCAGCGACTCTCTGCTCAGCCTGATGTATAGCTAAGGCATTAGTGACTGCTCTCCAAGGCTTCAATAATTTTTTAGCAGCCTTATTTTCATTAATAACTTCATCAAACAATTTGTCCCCAAATTTACGCCACTCTGTTTGTTCAAAAACTGTATCCGGATTGATAAAACAACCCTTTGTTACTCCATATTCTAATAATCCTGGTAAATCCTTTTTGCAGTCTATACCCTGCGTGCTCCGCTTTTCTAAAAAGCATTTGAGCAAATCATACGCCGCTTCTCTCTCCATACCTTTATTTATGCTGTTGCAGCCTTTGCGAGACCTCGTTCCCGCGTCCCTGCGCAGTTCCGTTTCCCGCATTTCCCCGCGGATCTCTTCCCACGCTCCCCACGGTTTCTTTTCCCCGTGTCTCACCGTGAGTCCTTTGTCCGGGTCCGTGCGTGGAGTTTCTCAGTGCCTCTCAGGTGTTCCAGCTTCTGTCAGGTCTGTGTCTTTCAGAGCCGTCCGTGGCTCTGCAGCGTCTCTCAGGGCTCTCTCCGTCCGGCAGGAGTCCCTCTGTGTGCCTCGGGTGTCCCGGCGCCGCTCCGATGTGCCGATGCTGCCGCTCTGATGTCCCGGAGCCGCTGCTCTCCCTGGGCTCCCGGCGCCGCCGGTCTCCCGCTGTGCTGCGATGTCCCGGCCCGCTGCGATGTCCTGTTCAGGTCTCAGCCTGTTCGGGCGCCATTTGTTAGGAAGCACGGCCGAAAGCATGACAGACACCGGTTGAGTCAGATCATGCTGCTCCATTTTATTGCCCAAATGGCCTAACTTTTATAGTGAACTTAACAGGGGCAGACAGTGTTTCACACAAGATTATTGGTCAGCAGCACTCAGACAAACAACTAGAAGAAAACAACCCCACCTGCAAGAAAACAACCCCCCTTGTGTTTGTATGGGCGGGGGGAACGCTCTGCCCTTCCTGCTCCCCCTACCTGCGCTAACTGCTGCGCCACAGCCTTCTGACACGCCGTGCCCTGTTTGCCCAGCCATGCCCTGCGCCCCACATTTGGGGACCTTGCAGTAGCACGATTCTCAGAGAACCCCTTTCCCCCCCATTATTTTTATTCCCAACTCAGGTAGCCATGCCTTTAACAGCAGCTTCAATTTTTCTTCCTTTACTCTCACCGTCTCTGCATGGTCACGCTGGTAGAACCACAGGGTGGCACGGGCCTTGGTCCCGCTCTGCTCTCTTCCTTTCACAGAAGGACGCTTTCCCCAATACCTCAGAAACTGGTTTGTACAGCTCGATAGGCATGAGCCAGGCCCCAGCACGTTACAATGATTTGTGTTACTTTGGAACTGCCAGAGTCAAGACACCTTTTTTTCAAGCATTCTATCAGTTTTTTAGGATTTTGCAGTTGTTCGGGGGTGAATTTCCAGAACACTGGAGGTGCCCGCTGCTCTAGATGCCTGCCCATATCCTCCCATACTCCCTGCCACTCGCAACTATCCTGCCTCCAGGCAGATATCTGGATGAGATTCCTCAATAGTTGTTTAACTTCAAGCAAAACCTGAAGCATATTCAGGAGGCATAACAACAAGAACATGCTGGTCTGAGTATCCCAAGGATATTCAATATCTTGGAGAACTATTGTAACTAGCTTGGAGGATTAGAGGGTGGTGAAGGAGAAAGGGAGAGTGAACGAGTATGAAAAAGTATCTTCCCCTTTCCCCGCCACAGACTGACTCCACGATGAAAAAAGGCGATAGGTATAATTGCTAATAGTTTCCGAGATATGGTTTCCAGAGTATAGAGTTGACGACATCACTGAGTACAAATACCAAGTTAGAGTCATGACCAGATATTTCATCGTCTCATAAGCCACTGCTACAACACACAGTACCATAATGATCTTAAACCAGGGCCCAGAGAGGATAAACAACATGACAGAGAGCACATACGGAAAACAATGTGCTATAATGCTCAATTTGGAAAACAGGCACAGCAGACTTGGGATAAAAGCAATCAGTATTATGACAACTAACTATTAAGCAAGTCTAATACTTATAACAATTTTAGTTTAACACACTCTGGTCAGATCTGTTATTATCTCAAAACTTTGTGCCCCACGTTGGGCGCCAGAATGGACTGTTGTGGTTTAACCTGGCTGGCAGCAAAACACCACATAGCCATTTGCTCAACATCCCCCCTCCCTCTCTGGGATGGGGGAGAGAAACGGGAAAGTGAAGCCCGTGAGTTGAGATAAAGAGAGTTTATTAAGACACAACAACACTACTAATACTGTGTAAAAACAAGTGATGCGCAACGCAATTGCTCACCACCCGCTGACCGATGCCCAGCCTAAACCCGTGCAGTCCGGCACACCTCCCCAGGCTAGCCAATCCTATATATTGTTTAGCATGACGTCAGATGGTATGAAACACAGCTTTGGCTAGTTTGGGTGACCTACCCTGAGTCTGACCCCTCCCTTCTCTTGCTGCGCAGCCAGCCTGCAGATCTGGGGACCTTGCAGTAGCACGATTCTCAGAGAACCTCTTTTCCCTCTTTTTTTTTTTTTTTTTTTTTTTTTATTTACAACTCAGGTAGCCATGCCTTTAACAGCAGCTTCAATTTTTCTTCCTTTACTCTCACCGTCTCTGCATGGTCACGCTGGTAGAACCGCAGGGTGGCACGGGCCGTGGTCCCGCTCTGCTCTCTTCCTTTCACAGAAGGACGCTTTCCCCAATACCTCAGACACTGGTTTGTACAGCCTGGGAGAAAGATAGTCTCTCCTCACTGGTGGACCTATTCCAAATCTTTCTCCACAGCCGAGACGCAGGCCTGCAGGGAAGAGGAGAGGCTTTCTTCATACTGCTTTTGACTTACATGTTGTGAAAGCGGCATTTCTTTTAGGAACAGCACAGTCTCGCAACTTCCACTTAGTGAAAGTTATGATAACTCCACCTGTACCTTCCCCATCGGTTTCTACTCACTGCAAGGCATAATCTGAGTGCACATTAAGGCACCTTTTTCCACACTGCCTGTTGTTGAATCCTAACAAATAGTTAAGAACATTCTTCAAAGTCATGCTTACCTGTAAGCACTTGAGCTTCTGAGTTGGTGGGGCTTTCTTTTTAGCTTTCATTCTCATTATATTTGGAAGGGCTGGAAAGGGAGCTTAGAAGCCACAGAAGTAATTTCACTGAAAACAGACAAGGTGAAGGAAGTACTCAAACTCCTCGACATTAAAGAACCGTAGAACCCAGGAACACTTACCTGCCAGCTCCTGAACTTGAGTCACTTCCACGCTGCTTCACAGTGACTTCGCGTAACCAGGGTCTCACTGTACTGAGAGGGCACCAACAACGTAGCTAGCTCATAGAGTCACTAAAACTGTTTCACAGAGATGGGAGAAAACGTGAAGAAATAGCAGCCCACCGAGGAACACTGAATCCGCTCCACCACAACAGCAGAAAAGCACCCTAGAGAACCTGAGCCTCAAACTCTCCCACCGGGAAGGCAATTCCCCACAAGTCCTCAGGCTTCCTATATAGCAAAAGTCAAATGATCCACACCTGGCAGGTTTCACTTCACAAGGGTGGAGCCAAGAGACCTCCTGGAATAGGCTCATCTACCTGGCTTCAGTCTTTTAAGCTTAATTGCTCCTTGTCACTACTAGAAATAACCTGACAAGGACTTAGTGGTTAGAGCTGACCTAATGAATTAACTACAAAAAGTGCACAAGGGTCATATTTCTGTTAGTCATTCTGTGAGGACAAGTAGTACAGAGCCTGTTTAAATAAATAAATAAATAAATAAACAACAAACAAACAAACGAAAGAAAAGACATCAAAGAAAAAAAGAAAATGACCTTAAAGGCAAAATTGCTCTCATAGATTTTCATCTGTCTAGTCATGACAGATAAAGAGTATAGCAATCAGAGTTACTTTTCTTGGCATTAATGGTATTTAAATCTGCTTTTCTGAGATGTCTTCTTTATGCAGGACTTTTCAAAATCTAGCCCCGTGACCTCCGACTACACTGTTTACTTCCACTGCGTATAAGCTATCACGTATGAATGCCAGGATCCGGATCGTCACTCACTATTCAGGTCAAGGACTGGTCCAAAGGTTTGGGTTTTGATTTGGGTACATGCCTACCTTGCTGTTTCCTGGCAGGTCATGGGAAGAAGATTGGCTGGCTTGGGGGAGCTCCTGTACACGTGGCTTTTAGGCTGCAGCCAAAGTGTTCCTCTAGATCTGGAAGTCTGAAGAGGGTTGCAGCCTCCAAGCTCAGATACAACCACATGTTAGTCTGGCGCAACTGATTTTTGTGTTCCTTGCACTGGCTGTGCAAGGAACCTCCTCTCCAGAGGCAAGGACATGCGTCTCTTTCGTGCTCCTTCGTTAGTGTCGCATTAAGGGGTGTAGCTGATTAACCGTTATGGGACCGGTCGGATTCAGGGTACCGAACCTGTCAGATACACCAATGACGCGTTAACTGTCTGGGGTCCGGTCAGATATTCACCAATAACGTGTTAACCGTCTGGGGTCTGCTTGGATTCAGAACACTGAACTATCACGGTCACAGATGCACCAATAACGTATAACCACCCTTACCCTAGTTGCACTTAATGAGAGCTATGACAATGCAATCAAGTGTGGTTTATTACAGCAACAGATAACCAGGTTCTTTGGATTGCCGGCGATAGTGCCTGTCTGCAAAAGCAAGCTAGCATGCATGAAATACACAGGTGTTACAGGTGCGCAGCCTAGAAATTAATGTGTTAAATGGATCAAAGATTCTAGAAAGATTTATAACTGTTATATATGGAGTGGTAATTCGTGTCGAGGAAACGGTTGATATTAATAAAGAAGGGGAACTTTGGGAATGTGGCCATGGGCGTTGGAAAGCCCTGTGGTTGAGATAACATTAGACTCTTAACGACGAGGCCATCAGGAATATAAAAATGTTTAGAGGGAACAAAGAAGGGTGATTCAGGAGACTCCATGCAGTCTCCCGTTTCTTGTTCTCCAGTTAAGGCGTGGATGTTTCTGGGTGTTTGCTGTTGTCGTTACATTCAAAGTTGTTTGAGCAATGAAAAGTTGTTTTGAAAAGAACTGCTGTGGAGAGAAGGGTATAAGAGGAGAGCCTGCCCTCAAAAAAAAAAAAAAGGCAACACGATGAAGTTGCATCAATAAAGAAGCAGGAACAAGAAGCGAAGAGGAAAAGGCTGGCAGAATGGAGACCAGGACGGGAACAGGCACTTTGATTGCCTCATGAAGATAGGTTCGGCCAAACTCAGCAAACTGCTCAGAGAAGCTCGTACAGAAAGTCGCTGGAAATAGGCGCACTGGAGCTGGAGAGAAGCTCGAGCTGAGAGAAGCGGAGCTGTGCACACAACTGCCTCTCGCTGGTAAGCAGTTGTGCATTATGGGGAATCATTCGTCCTTAGGAACAAAGACCGTCCTGGTAACCTTACAGCTTATTCTCCTTATTAACAATTGGACAGTTTATGAGCCTCAAATATGGGACCAAACTGAGGTTAAGGTGTGGGTCTCTGCAACTAAAAATGACAAGGTTGCAGTGGGATTTATCGGCACCTGGCGAGCAGTCTCTGAGGCCTTAAAGAGCCACGTGGAGCCACAATCACAAACGTGTGGCTTGCCAGATAGTGAGGGAGCTGCAGGCCCCTTTACTGATCCGACTGCTACGCCATGGGCCCCTCTGCTGTTACAGCCATCGAAGGCTTTTGCTGTTTCGCCCCCTGCTGACCTGAACGTGCCTTTTGACCCAGGCCTATTGGCCTTGAAAAGGAGATGGATATGCTTTTCTTCGATCTGGGAAGAACGAGATACATAAGGCCTGAAGACCGAGTTGCTTGACAACTTAAAGCGAGACACATCGCCCAAAAGGAATGGAAAATGGAGACTGTTAAGGCATGGAACTTAAAGGATTGTTTGTTACCTTTTCTGATCGA